TTGATCATTCATAATATGTATGATCAGTATCGATGTACAAAACTTTAAATCTGTTTTCCTCGCAAGTGTGTTTTTCCGTAACGGTGATCATGATATTTCAAAATTTACTTAACATGTTTGCGCGGACAGTAAAAATTTTAATGAGCTGCAAAAATAAACAGATGATTCGTTCTCAAATCATTACATTAAAGCGCATAATAATTTCAAAAAATAAACGCTATATAGACTTGAATTCATGATAATGTGGCTTATAAATTTGAATGTTATAGAATTCATGTTACCTTGCATCACAATGAAAATGTCCGCGAACGTATTGAAAAATTGCATTTAAAATATGTTTACTACTACCGACAGTCTGTACTAGTAGCAACGGAATTTTTTTACATTTTTTTGGGCTCCCAATATTAAAAAATCAGTAGAAAAAATCGACAAAAACGTGAAACAAAAACGCAATTTGCACTAGAATACCCCGTTAAATCAAAATAAAATTCTACCCTTCTATTGTCAATATTTAACTCTTTCAGTGCCGATCAGAAATATCGTGTACAACTAAGCAAAGAGAAGAAACAATACCAAAACCATTTGATATAGTTTGATAAAGTGTCGAAAAGAAATTACAGTAAATTCTCTCTAGAACTCCCGCAACTCGGAATCGAAAATAGACAACTGAGGCAATCCAGACACAATTCTTCGAAAGAGACATCTCGATATCTCGATAACGAAAATCAGTGTACATTAATACAAATACACAATAATGCTAGATTAAAAACGATGCTTCAACTATATTATTTCTAATTTTTTATACATGAAAATTGTTTGAACATATTGCAGAGATTCTTCCACTTAAAGTGAGACCAAACACGATAGTCTTTAGACCATATTTACATATTCGATTACATCGTAGTTGATTTTATTTTATGCAATCAGAAATATCTGTCCAAACTATGTCATGTTTGGTCTCATTTTAATTAGGAAACTATCAGCAATATGTTAAAAAAAATTCAGTTTTAAAATGTCAAAATTAAAAAAGTTATGTTATTGTATTACGAGTTGTCACTCCGGGAATTCTAGTCGAAGGAGCCGCGTTGCGTACCGCATCATACGCTTGACCAATTCTGTCGAACCTTATCATAGCCGTAGCAATGACGCACATAAACGTGGGAATAGCACAGGAACAATCCCAGCAAGATTGTAACATGGACTTCTAGGGAGAATTTACTGTATTTATAAAACCTAATAATTAGGACATTTTAATAAAAATAAAAAATAAACTACTATTTATTAGAAATTCGGCACTAAGAGAATTAAGCATCAAAGTAAAGATTGGCAAATAATAAGTATAACGTGGACATTCATTAGTGACCAACAAATATTAATCGACGTAGCTGTGAAAGTACTACAATATCGAACGGAAATTTTGACCATAAAAATTTGGTTCAAGGTGAATTTTGCGGGAAGCGTTTTTCAACGAATCTCTGCCGATCTAGAGGTGCGGAATTCATTTCTGAGCCTCCACGACGGAACATCCTGTTACACCCGGTACTTTTTGCTAATTCGTAGAACCATAGGTTTCTGTTTCCAGCACGTTGTAAGAAGGAAAGATGACTGCAGTTATCTCGCCACAAAATTTCTGTGACGCTAAAAGTTTACTTCCACGAGTTCCTGCGACAGGTGTCAATACTTCCATCGGTGCTCGCCGATACATTACTTGTTCAAATTATATTTGCATATGCGTGATACTACTACGTTAGTATTACCGAAGTGCAGGCCTGGGCGAGTCATTTCGGCCGCGAGCCTCAAGCTCCCTCCACCAATCCCTCTTTTCCCTCATTACTTAAGTTCCGTAAACGCTACTACTGCCCCATGCACATTGCTACACCTAATATGAGCAGTCCCGCGTGGAGCACAGAGGAAACAATGTCATAACGTTTTTGGCGACTCCCACTGTCGTCGATCACGCCGCGCTGCAAGCGACGAAGTCGCGCGAGTGTGTGAGGGATGCCGAAGGTGCATAATGGGGACGAGCCACGGAGCACGTAGAAGGNATTAGGAAACTATCAGCAATATGTTAAAAAAAATTCAGTTTTAAAATGTCAAAATTAAAAAAGTTATGTTATTGTATTACGAGTTGTCACTCCGGGAATTCTAGTCGAAGGAGCCGCGTTGCGTACCGCATCATACGCTTGACCAATTCTGTCGAACCTTATCATAGCCGTAGCAATGACGCACATAAACGTGGGAATAGCACAGGAACAATCCCAGCAAGATTGTAACATGGACTTCTAGGGAGAATTTACTGTATTTATAAAACCTAATAATTAGGACATTTTAATAAAAATAAAAAATAAACTACTATTTATTAGAAATTCGGCACTAAGAGAATTAAGCATCAAAGTAAAGATTGGCAAATAATAAGTATAACGTGGACATTCATTAGTGACCAACAAATATTAATCGACGTAGCTGTGAAAGTACTACAATATCGAACGGAAATTTTGACCATAAAAATTTGGTTCAAGGTGAATTTTGCGGGAAGCGTTTTTCAACGAATCTCTGCCGATCTAGAGGTGCGGAATTCATTTCTGAGCCTCCACGACGGAACATCCTGTTACACCCGGTACTTTTTGCTAATTCGTAGAACCATAGGTTTCTGTTTCCAGCACGTTGTAAGAAGGAAAGATGACTGCAGTTATCTCGCCACAAAATTTCTGTGACGCTAAAAGTTTACTTCCACGAGTTCCTGCGACAGGTGTCAATACTTCCATCGGTGCTCGCCGATACATTACTTGTTCAAATTATATTTGCATATGCGTGATACTACTACGTTAGTATTACCGAAGTGCAGGCCTGGGCGAGTCATTTCGGCCGCGAGCCTCAAGCTCCCTCCACCAATCCCTCTTTTCCCTCATTACTTAAGTTCCGTAAACGCTACTACTGCCCCATGCACATTGCTACACCTAATATGAGCAGTCCCGCGTGGAGCACAGAGGAAACAATGTCATAACGTTTTTGGCGACTCCCACTGTCGTCGATCACGCCGCGCTGCAAGCGACGAAGTCGCGCGAGTGTGTGAGGGATGCCGAAGGTGCATAATGGGGACGAGCCACGGAGCACGTAGAAGGGGGAAAGAGCCATATTTGACTCACGAGCTGCGACTCGTCCACGCCAGCTGTAGTGGGTATCGTACGCACGCGCACGCAACAGAAACTCTCTCCGATGGTACGACAGTTTCATAGAGCACCTAGCGGACTATATTAGAAGCGAACCTTTCAGTTCACAAAGGTTAGGGCGAAGTCGGGTTACGTTAAATAACCTCACCTTCTTACACCGTGGTTTCCAGCGAAACATGAGAGACTCATCCGACTCGCGCGCTCACGCCGTTTTAAAATTGTTTCAATGGTGGATGCTTCTTCGACGAACTAACATGAAAGAACCGAAAATCCTGTTTCTGGACTCGCGACACGGATGCCAAATCAACTCTCCGTCGAAAAACAATGATCTCCGGGAGACACGGTTCCGTGTTCGCCACACCCGGTGTCCGGTAATCGACAGATGCTCGATTGTTTAATAGTTAACTGCTTCGTCCTCCTTCTCGCTTTCCCATCTGGTCGGAAATCTTAATTACTATATTTATATCGTAAAGCATTTTGTATGCGTTGCACTCGCGATCGGCTGCCACTGCGTCTCGTCGAGATGTTCCTCACTGACTGACAATTGAAGCATGAATTTCGTCGATTCTGCAGTGTTATTTTTTTTTTTTTTTTTTTTGAAGCGGTGGCTTTTAATAGGTATTCCTTTTGATAAACGGTTCTACGAATTTTCACGAGCTAGTTAGGAATTTGTCAACTCTTCGATTCATTCAACGGATGCAGTTTTCGAGAAAATTCAGTTTTAAAGAAAATGCAAATTATCCATTTTGAAAATGTTTTTTTAGGTAATAATTGAGCGGTTCTAACTAGCACTGCTATGATTGCTGAATAAGATGCTGGATTGTAAATGCAGATGCATGTTTAAACAATTTTTCAATAGACGCTTTTAACGTAATAATACACTCGGGCAGTTCTTAAATTGTTTAAACAATTTATGTTTTTAAAAGCTGCTTATGCTGAAATATAGAGCGAAATTTATGTCTGTAAAAGTTACAAATCACGTTTCGTTTTTAAACTGCAAACAAAATAGAAAGGTGCGATCATGTTTGCTACTGTATTTTTCTATGATCAACTATTTAACAATAACCGTACCGTCGCCGGTCAAATGATTGGTTCAACAATTCTTATTCTACAATTATCGAAATTATAAGATCACATCCACCGGATACCATTACATAAATTTATTCATCCCAATATATATTAATATAAAAATTGGAAGAAATCTAAATAAATTCAATACTGTAATTTGTATAAGGCAACACTAGACGAGTCACATTTAACGCCCGATACGGTTAGTGTTAATAGTAAAGTAATCGATTACAACGTAATATCGTTCGACATAGAATAATATCTCTTCGCCAAACAGAGTATTTCATTTGGATTTTTTAAACCAAGCGTGATTTTTGTAACTTGTGCATAGATTTCCGATTTTATGATACCGATACAAAAAACGTGACAATCTGATTACGTCATTTATGACTGAATAAAATTATTCAAGATGGGAGTGAACATATATACGGTTATGGTTTCTTGTAAGTGACGCACAAATCTTTACTTTACATAAAGACCCGCTGTCCACTTATATGATACGTAGACTGCTGATCTCTATGCATTTATAATAAAGATGGGTGGGTAAAAATTCAAACAATGGAAATATTGAAAGAATTTAAGGACATCTATGTGTCGTTTTCAACTCACTGACATTATTAAAGGAAGAACCAAATTTTTCTGCGACTCATCCTCGTTGCAATTGATGAAGATAAGTTTTATTTTGCATAAAGGTCCGCAGTCTAGTGATATATGTAACTACAGTAAATTCTCCCTAATAGAAATTGAAAGTGCAAGAAACAATTAAAAATGAAGAATTTACTTTCGTTCTTTAATTGCCTCGAAAACCAAGGATGAAATTTCGAAGAGGACTGGCATAATCAGCCCGCGAAAATCGATCGGAAACGCGTCCGTCCGAAGCGAAGAATCGAACGACGAAAGTTTGCGCCCGCAAGAAATGATAATCGCCGGTTCGAAACACGATACGTCTCGCGGAGCGAACCCGCAGTTGCATCGATCGCGGGTGGACGTGCCACCACTCGCTTCAAGCCTAATATACATCGAGTATTAGGTTTACAAAACAGATACCCTACTTCATCGTAGGGTTTCGGGGGGTTGGATCGGTGGTTTCATAATGGAGGAGGATGTGGGGCTTTCGGATAGTTGGAGATGGGATACCAGGAAAATCGATGGGGCTGGGAGATACTAACTACTCCCTTAATTTGTGCCAATCAGCGATCTGCCTTTGCGGCGAGCTGCAGACTTCTCTCCAATGGTTCAGAGCTGAGTCTTGACAGTCTGGTCCGCCGAATTCGAGTCGCCCGATCACCTGTAATACAAGACCAGAATCGTCAACGTCTGTCATTTTTTTTTGCAACATCATGAAAATTACAGAAAATAATTGGCGCAACAAGCTGTCCCAAGACCGTAAGCCTTTGAAGCGTGTGATTCATAAGGCGATTTGAAGCAACTATTTCCTTAGCGAAAATGTTCTCCGTGGCTCCGTTAACAAGTTATTAACTAAATACACGGGCCAATCAGAGAGTGAGTACAACTGGAGGTCCCGCCCTCGCGACTACTATCGCGTCGCACTCTTCTGGAACACCTTGTATAATCGTCTTAAAGCACTCTCTGAACATACTTAGCTATATTCGATAAATAAATTTTGGTTAGGCCTACTAATAACAGAGTAGTCTAAACTGATCATATTTCATAATTCACCCTATATATCAGACAATATTATCTAATTTAAACTTGCATTGTTCTGATATTCCACTGCTAACACTGTTGCAATTATTAATTACGTAAATCTTTCGTAAAATATTGCGAACGTTTGAAAAAATTGGTTTCACGTTTTGGCATTTTCTTGAAGAATATAACTCCAAAATTATAATATGTAAAGCCCTGAATTCCTAAAATGAACGAAATTATAATTGTTTTTCTCAGATCAATGTTTTCCAAAATGGCCACGATACTTCAAAATCTACTTGAACAATGACCAAAAATCACGGATGCTATGAGACTTCTTTTTGATAGGTTATCTATTTTCATTTTCGTCAGGATAAAGAAAATTGGAAATAGTACCGAAATATGTATAAATCTACTCCAATATTTGTATTGCAAAAGATGCTACAGTTTTTCTATACAAAAATTCCGAAGGAACATTAACAAAAGCGCGTTTCAATCTAGTTTCAATAAAATACTTTAAATAAAAATATATACTTTGTACATTATTAATTTAAATATATACTTTGCATAATATAAATTTAAATATATACTTTGTATAATTTTAAATATATACTTTGTGTAATATGGATTTAAATATATACGTTATATAATATTTTAAATATGCACTTTGTATCATATTTTAAATATGTACTTTGTATAATATTTTAAATATGTACTTTGTATAATATAAATTTAAAGTGTAATGTAATTTAAATAAAACAAATGAAGGAAAGAAAAAAAAACAAATGTTGAATCTTGTTACGTACCTCGTTCTTTGTCACACGGTCCCAGTCGAGCAGCATGAATTCAAGGCTGACGTTTTTCAGACCGTCCGCTCCGTTCGGAATGTCGAAAACGAAGGACTCGTTGAATACCGGGCTGAGGGTGCGTCTTTTCACGCATGTCTTCTTCTTGGCGATGCGTTGATTGTTATAGAGCAGGTAGATTTTCACGTACGGGTCCGCCAAGCCGGTCACATCCATCTTTGGTAAATTCTGCGCTTTCAGTACGACAACCGTTAATCGGCTGTTGATCGGTTGCCAGCAAAGAGAAACCAACAGCTCTCCTCTGCCTTGCGATTGGATCTGTAACACGAGCATCGATCAAAAACTCGCCTGGTTTCTGTCGATTTTCTTTTCAAATTCGCCGATTTAAATTTCTCCTGTTATAATTTCGTCATCGAAATTATTTCGTTCAAACTTCTTCAAAAGAGCAGAATACATATTGCGTTGCGGAAGGCAGACCGCACTTCGAACATGTAATTAAATAAAATGCATTCTTTTTTGTGTTCAATATTATTTTCACTATTGTAAATGTGGAATAAAGATCTACAATAATGGAATAAAGATCTACAATAGTGGAATAAAGATTATTTGTTCCTATTTGTCGGTATTTGATCCAAGGTGAACTTGGTTTAGCTATGAAAACAAACAGTTTTTGAATTTTTTTTATCGATACCTACTGTACACTCTGTGCCGTTTAACTGTCGTTCTAAACTTTTTTTGTCAGATGGCTTTAAGTAAGTGAAATTATCTCAAATAAAAGAACTAAAAGTTCCGAACTAAAAAGTTCACCCGTTATGAATACGTTATGGACAGTGGATGAGCGGCGACTGTGTGTGTGTGTGTGGCGGCTTACGTACACCGGGCCGCGTTATGCACGCATAGGCAGAATTCAATGTAGTAGTAGTAACAGTTTTTCCCGAGTTTATCTCGAAAACTAAAGCCGAGCGGCCATAAATAGAAAAGGAAAAAATTGTTCAGAATATCTCCCTTTATAACATATTTCAATGCCATTGAAATCGGTGATGGTATATGCTTTCGACAAATATTCGGTAAGTGCTGAACTTTTATGTATTTAGAATTGTTCTTGTAGTTGATAATACATCCTGGTCACGTTTTAGTATTTATTCAAATTTTTATGAGCTTTAAACCGATCAAACCTTATCTTATATTCAACTGATCTAACCTTATTTTAGATTCAACTGATTTAATCTTATTTTAGATTCAACCGGTTGAACCTTATTTTAAATTCATCCAATCTAACCCTATTTCATATCCAACCAATCTAACCTTATTTTATATTCAACCGATCTAATTTTATTTTTTCCAAGATTTCGTTTCCTGGCCGTGAAAAAGTTGTCCTTCTAAATGCAAATATTATTATCAAAAACTCTGACATTATAACATTACAATAAAAATATCTATTCTA